GCGTCGAAGGGCGCCCTCGGATTCGCCTCGGCTGGCGGCGCCGATCCATTACACGCGCCCGAGCTTGCCCCCCCCCCCCCGTCGCCTGGAGTGGCCGCGCGCAATACAGGAGACCAGCCTCCGCGGTGCACCTCGCCGGACTGCGATTCGCTAGAGCACGCGGCAACTGGCTGCTCGGGCAAAAGGCGTGGAAGCGCCTGAAAAGGCGGCAGCGCACGTGGCGACGCGGCCCGAACGCATCCGCGGCTTACGCACGGGGCCGCATTTAGCCTCGCATAGGTTTATGCATTGTTATTATTCTTCTTCCGGGGATGGCGAAAAATCCACCGCGTGCCCCGGGCGAACTTCCTTCTGCGGCGTCGCCTATGGTGGCGCCGCTTTGGGGTTACCTTGGACGTGGCCGCCCTTGTCTTGGGCGTGTCCACCCGTCTGCTGGAGAAGTGGGTTAGCGCGGCGGCCCCTCCTCGCCCCCCCTTCTGCTCCTCCATCTGCGCTCTGCGTCGACGGCGGAGGTGGCTCTGCAGAGGGCGGCGCGCGAGCTGCAGACGGTCTGCCCCGTCGCGCCCAGCTCCCGCTGGCGAGGAATTTCGGCGCCACCATCTTCGCTCGGGGCGCCTGGGCGTAGACCTCGAGGACACGGTCGAGAGGAAGCGCCCTCTGATTCACTCTGGCACCGTAGATCTTCGCGCCAGTCACGGGCGCGCATTCGGCTCCGATGACGGCCGAACCTCCGGCGCAACCGCCGCGGCCAGGATGCCGCGGAGCTTCTTGGCGGCGAGGGCTGCGCGATGGTCGATCGATGGGACATGCGCCGCGATGTTTGCAGAACCGACGGCAGCCGCGCATGCGGTGGCTCTCGCAGTTTCTCGATGATATCACGCTTGCGCTGTCGCATCTCCTCTCGGCTCGAACCTCGGCGACGCGACATCTCAGCGGCGCGGCCTGCGTCGTCCTGGAAGACGCGCGGGAGAGCCGTCAGTGGCGAAAGTATCGATCACGGTAGCCTTTGTTCAACCAGCATTCCACGTCTTCATCGGCCATCTCCATGCGGGCGCCCTTCTCACCCCGAGCAAAGGAAGAGCACCCTTTTCCCGAGCCGCCGTAGCCCTTGCCAGACGAGGGGCCAACAGTGCATGACCGACTCCGGGCCTGATCGCACGGGAGGGCCCAGCAGCGGCCGCGGCGACCGCTGACCTTCTCGCCTTTGTCGGGGCCACCTGAACCAATGGGGGCCTGGCCAGGGCGGCCCCAGTCAACCGCTGCACGGCCCTCCTCCGCGAGACCGACGACCGTCGGCGTCGGGGGCCGGGGGCGGCCCCCCCGCCCATGTCCGAGCTGGAATTTATGTTGCGCGGCCTGTGGCAGGCGTGCCTTCTGCTCCTGACACGCAGTCGCCCTCGTCGTCATCGTCGCAAGAATCGGCGCGCACGCGTCAGCGCCAGGGCAAGCCCGCCCAGCCCCCGCACGGTGCGTCGTGGAGCTCCTCGATGCCGTCGCACAAGAACTCGGCGCAGCGCTCGACGGCAGCCACGGTAGCTTCAGAGCACTAGGCAATCAAGAACTGGGTGGTTCCGGATTGCGCTCGGGAGGGGTGATCGAGATCGGGGAAATCAGCGTATTCCAGCACGTCTTCCTCGTGTTGCTCCGAGACGAGAAATACGGATCCACCCCCCTTCGCACTGCCCTTGGGGCACTGTGCCTGAAAATGTTTGTCGCCCCCGCACGAGTTGCATGTCATGCGTTGGCCGTGTTTGTCCATTGCGCGTAGTTTGCGTCCCTTGCCTCTGCCCGCGATGTTCCTGTAAACTTTACCTCTGCCCTTACCACCAAAGAACAATCGCTCGACCTACGGGCGCGCCTACCATCCTTCCCGCGACCCGTACCTCTGCGAACGAAAACGCGACGCGCTGCTCGCCTAAATATCCGAACTGGCTTCTTAGTACGTCCTCTCCACCTACTCTTAGCACGACGGTGGCCCACCCATCGGTCGACAGAAGTAAACAGAAACAATACGTAGACAGGCGCCGGAAGTAGATCGGGCCTCTGAAGAGGAGGGAAGACGGGAAGCCACTCGACGATTGAAGTGCGAAGGCGCTTAAAATATATTGGATACTGGGAATCCAGAAATACCTACTTTCAGCGACCGATGGGTAAGAGTAAATATTGCGCTGGTTGGTCGTCGTCGGCAGGCAGTTCTGACCAATCAACAGGGTCTACACCAGTTGATGAGCAGGCGTCGGTGTCTGTGCCAGTCCCCTTGCTGGTTGGACGAACCCTAAAGGGTGGTCCCGTCGGGCGGTGTGTAGCTGGCAGCTGATGGCCAGCCAGCGTTAGGACCAGAGGCCTGTGCGTTGCTGGCCTCTTGGCCTGCGAGTGTCGTGGATTCGGTGGGCCCCCCATCATTCCAAGTGTCCCTGACGTGGCCACAGGCGTGTCGCTTACTTCGGCACAATAACTGGCATTGCGGCCACTGAATATGCTCCAGATGCTTCCAATGGCACGCTCAGCCAGGTGCCCATAGCTGCGCATGCGTTCCAACAGTTGGCCGTACTGTTGTTGAGTACGGGGTATCTGGTGGCTGAGTACTTGTAGTAGTTGCGATGCTCGAGACGTGCCGACTGCCAGAGCACGGAACCGTATAAGCGTTATGACCTGGAAATTGGGTGTGTTGAAGCCACCCAAGTCCGCTTCCAGTCGGCCATTCCAAATCGGGCCTGTACTGAATCGATGCGTTCGCCTCTTTCGGCCATGAAGTCGACGAGGGCTGTTCCCGAGGTGAGCTGCCGCTCATCCTCGAAGATGTCCAACTTGGTGCTTAGGAAATACATGGTATGAGTGGCTCCATCGGTGCGTCTACCCTGTACGGTTACGCCGTAATTCATGATGGTAGACGGACCCTCATAGCCAGGGCCCTGGCGAGACCGCCATTGGCCGCGCTGTAGCGCGGCGGCCTGTTGGGGTGGAGTCATGTTTCCGCTTGTGGCGCTAAGCCATGCGCGCACAAACGAAATCGCGGAACGATGCTTTGCCAGTGGGGTCCCAGTGGGGGCCCCGAGTGCGTTCATTCAGTCTTCTCTGCGTGCACGCCACTGACAAACCACGGCACACCCACAATAGTTCACTGACTGTGCCCTTGGCATAGTGATTGCTCAGATTGGAATTGATGATGTGACGGTCGGTGTCCTTGGTGGGTGACGTATCCTTCAAGTTACGAGTGGGTGCATTGTCGGAGGTAGCCGTCAGCTTGCGAATAGGTGAATGGAATTAAGCACGTGACGCGTGGCCACGCGGTGGGGAGATGGAGGAATAGGATAGTAAGTTACCAAAACGTTGAAGCGCACTGGGAGTGTAGTGACTGCTAGCCAGCGCAGTTGGGTATGTATGCCACTGCGTGGGAGTAAACTGCTATGTACATAACACCTGATGCAAGAACCAGCCACATAAAGATGAGACCAGCTCCGCAACCAAGTGAAAAGTGAATTTGAGGAGGGTGTAAGCGGAGACCCAACTTAGGATGGCGTCGTAGACGTATCACGGTATCCCACAGCTTATCCCTTCCGGATGGGCAGGGCGCGAGATAAGAGACAAGACATGGGATAGAGAGATGAGCCATCGGAGGACGTGGCCTTTTTTATCCAACACTCAGACTCGAGTGTACCTCTCGGTCGAGAGGTGGTCACATGGGGTACCGCTACCTTGAGCCAGGTAGCGCCAGAAGTAGGCACGACGTTCGTTATACTAGCCCCCCTTTGACCTCCTTCAAACGTCTACCACCACCACCACCATCACCACCATCATCATCATCATCATCATCATCATCATCATCATCATCATCAGCAGCAGCACCATCATCAGCATACACATCATCATCATCATCATCATCATCATCATCATCATCATCATCATCATCATCATCATCATCATCATCATTATCAGCATCATCATCATCATCATCATCATCGGCATCATCATCATCATCATCATCATCACCATCATCATCATAATCATCATCAGCAGCATCATTATCATCATCACCATCAGCGTCATCAGCAGCGTCATCATCAGCATCACCAACATTCTCAGCATCATCATATCATCAGCCTCATCATCAACATCATCATCAGCAGCAGCCTCATCAGCAGAAGCTGCATCATCATCATCATCAGCAGCATCAGCATCAGCATCACCATCATCAGCATTATCATCATCAGTATCATCAGCATCGGCATCATCATCAGCATCACCATAATCATCGTCGTCATCGTCATCGTCATATTCGTCAGCATTGTCAGCATCGTCAACATCGTCATCAGCATCATCACCATCAGCATCATCAGCATCGTCAGCATCATCATCATCAGTACCAATCAGCATCATCGCCACAAGCATCATCAGCATCATCATCGTCATCGTCATCGTCATCATCGTCATGATTGTCAGCATCGACGGCATGGTTAACATCACCATCAGCATCCTAATCATCACCATTATCTTCTTCACCATTCATCATCATCACCATCAGCATCATCAGCAGCAGAAGCATCATCAGCAGCAGCAGCCACATCAGCATCAGCAACAGCATCAGCATCAGCATCATCATCAGCAGCAGCATCATAATCAAAAAAGGAGATGTGTGAGGGAATATGGTTGAAAGGAGAGGGGGGAAATGTGAAAAGAGGACAGGAGAGGAGAGAGGGACAGGAGAGGAGAGAGGGGAGGAAGCACGGAGGGAGTGGAGGGAAGGGGTGCGGAGAAAGGGGGGGGAAATGTGAGTGCAGGGAGGATGAGGAAGAGGAATGACGAGGACAACGAGGAGTTTGAGGAGGACGAGGAAAGGAGAGGTGACAGAAAATAGAAGAGAGGAGGGGAAGGAGGATGAGGAGGAGGACGAGAAAGAGGAAGACGAGGAGGAAGACGAGGATGAGGAGGAGGAGGAGGAGGAGGAGGAGGAGGAGCACAGGGACGACGTCCACGACGGCGAGCACAGCGCGGGCGCAGGCCTTCTTGGGCCCAGCGTCTCTGTCGTCGCCCCTGTCCTGGAAAGGGCGGGGGGGAGGGGCGGCGGGCCAGGGGGGGGACCCGCCGCAGGAGGCACCCGTACTGGCCAGGGGCCACCCTGGGCCCCAGCACCGTCGACCAGGAGGGCGCAGGGCACCGGGCCGAGGCCCAGGATGGCCCTGGCCGGGCACTGCGGCGGTGTTCAGACGCCGTCTGCGCAGGGGGGGGGGGTAAACACGGGGGGGGGTACCAAAGCTCCCCTCCTCCCGTCCTCCGGTCCCCTCCTCCTCCTCCTCCTCCTCCTCCTCCTCCTCCTCTCCTCTCTCCTCCTCCTCCCCTCCTCCTCATCCTCTCCTCCTCCTCCTCTCCCTTCCATCCTCCTCCTGCGTCCTCCTCCTCCTCCTCCTCCTCCTCCTCCTCCTCCTCCTCCTCCTCATCCTCCTCCCCCCCCTCCTTCACTGTATCCTTCTCCACATCATGTTGCTCCGCCTCATACTGCTCCGCTCCATCTCATGCCGCTCCGCCCCCATATCCTCCAGCTAATCCCCTCTCCTCCAACTGCTCCCTCGAACGTTTCCTCGCCATCCCCCGTCCCCCGCCCCCATCCTCCTCGAACTGCCTCGTCAGACTCTCGAGTCTTCCTCGCCCTGCTCCCCGGAGCCGCTGGCGAGGACGCACGGACGCCCGCAAGGCGCGCCAGGGTGCGGCGCACCCTGCGGGACGGAGCGATGGCGCCGCTGGCGCCGACCGTCTGCACTGCGAAGCCCGAGCTCCGCGAGGCGCCCACCGCCCTCCGCGGCCAGGTCGGTCGCTGGCGGGGGCGAGTGAGCGCAGCCCAGACCTCCGCTCGTCGACGGGAGGCTTGTGCTCATTTTCGGCCACGGGTGGCCCACGGCCGACCCGGAGGCCGTCAAGAAAACGGCTCGGCAGGAGGAGCACTCAGTCAACACCATACTGGGAAGCACGAGGCGTTCGGCATAATTGTGCTGGTGGAGGCGACGCCAGCCACTCCCGTCGTCGAGGATGTCGCCGCGAAGGCCTTCTAGAACGAGTCCTGAGGGTGCGTCCGACCAGCCTGCCACGAGGAACAGGTCTATAAACCTCTGCAAGCCCACGATGCACGATGCGGCGAAGATCGCAGGCGGCATCCCCGCCCAGTGGAGCGGGGGGGTGAGGACGTGGCGGACTGGCGGCCAGCTCGGGCGGAGGGGAGGGGCGTGCCACTGCGGTATTGTCCACGGCAAACGAAGCCAGGACCGGGACAAAACGGGACCGAGTCGAATCGTGTCTGAGACCCGTCGGTTCTGGAGGATGCATTGGGCGCCGCGGCCGTTCCAGAGCGCTCCGCAACTCTCTGAAGAGCTTTCTGGACTCTGCAACGATGCAACCGGGTCCCAGCCCCGCCCGCTGCCTGACCAAAGGGTGGCCTGGCGCCGCGCGGTCGGCTGCCCGCGTCGGCTGGCGAGGGGCTCCTGCTAGCGACAGCACCCCGCACAGCCCGACAACGGCTCGGTGGGCGAGACCCGGGAGCGACGATGAGGGCGAAGAGCCCAGGGGCGGGCATTGCACGCATTCGCCCGAGAGCCTCGCTGACGAAGGGGGCCATGGGCGCTCCTGGACACGTGTGCTGCTCCCCCCCTGGGTGTCTTGCCCCCGTCGTCGCCCCGCAGGGAGCTTGACCCGACAAGGACCAGCCGCACGCGTACTGGTTCCTGGCCAGAGGTTTGAAAGACAGGGAACGGCTCGCGCGGGGGAGGGGGTCGGATGGGGGGCGCAATGTCCAGCGTGGGAGGCCGTATCAGCAAGCCTGCGACGCCCCTGCTGGAGACCCTTCCTGGGGGAAACTGTCCTCCATGCCTGGGGAGGTTTTTGTTTACTGGCTGGGGTGGGGAGGATAAGGAAGGTCTTCGCTAGAAGGTCTTCCGAAACGAGGGCACGAGCCCAAAGCCTTTCAGAAACCGTCCCCAGGAAGGTTTCCCGCATGTTGGTCCAAGGAACAATCATCATGAGGGTATCAACATGTGTTTGGAGCGTTTCCTCTGAAGACATTCCTCGTGGAGCTGTTCAGGAAGGTTGTAGGGAGGCCTCTCCAGGAACATCATATTCTTGAAGATCAAAAGCTGGTTTAGGAAGGCCTTGCCTGGAACATATTCCCGTGCAAAGGTTTGTGAAGATGTTGAGACGCGTGTCGTGTGCAAAACTGTCCTCGGGAAGTGTTCAGGAGGATGGTGTTCGAGATACTGCTCCTGGGAAGCATTCCTCAGGAGGGTTGTCGGGAAGTTCTTGGTGGCTTTGGGATAAATGCGCTTCGAAATCCATCCTCACGAACGTGTCGGAGAGATGGTTTGAAGTGTGCTCCTTGGAAATACCTTACTCCACATGTGTGTAGAAGGCGTTTGGAATGTCTCGCCTGGAAAACGTTCCTCGGAGAGGTTGTAGAAAGGATTTCAATACTGCCAAGGAAGACAATTCACATTGACTGGTCAGAAGAGTTCGGAAGGCTTACTACGGGTACCCAATCCTGAGGACGGTGGTGAGAATGTTCCTCAATCAGTGCTTGCATTGGAGGGGTCCTCGCGGATGGTGAAAGATTTGGCAAAAATGCCCCACCGATTTTGGTCGCACGCTGGGTTTCCGGGTTCCCAAATTCCCGGTTCCGGGTTCCTGGGTTCCCGGTTCCGTGTTCCGGGCCGATTTCGGAGGGCGGCGAGGTTCCCGGTTCCTGGCCGATTTCTTATCGATCGGTCTCACCATCGATCTCATTACCGACTTCTCGATCGATCCCACCATCGATCCCGCTATCGATCTCACTATCAATCTCACAACCGATCTCACTAGAGATCGCATGAGCGATCTCGCGATCGATCTCACTACCGATCTCATTGAATCAATTTCACTCTCGGTCTTTCGATCGACCTTACAATCGTCCTCACTATCGATTCCACGATCGATCTCATTATCGATCTCACAACCGATCTCAGAATCCATAGTATCAATTTTCAAATCATCCACTGATTGGGGTTTTCTCAGGTGTAATGCTGATACAGCGGTTAACAGAAAGCCTTTCCGGGGGAAGGTTTTAGCAAAATACTATAGATGTGTGTCCTGGGACACGTTCCCCTGGAAGGTTGTTGCAAAAAAGGTTGGGAAGGTCGCTCTTGATACACTTTCCTCAGGAGGGCCTTGAGCAGGCTTTGGGGAGACTACCCCTGGGAAGCCTTCGTCGGGAAGTTGTAAGGAATGTGTTATGGAAACTCTTTCCCCGGGGAAGCCTGAAGCGGGACTGGGGCTGGGGGTACACCGCGGCAGGCTGGGGGAGAGGTAGGGTGAAGGTTAGAGATCGGGGTCCCTGGCCAGCTTCAAGCAGGGCCGTCGGTATCCCAACTCCGAGCGATGGTAGGTCAGCAAGTGATCATCAGTAAGTACCTGCTGCTCTGGCTACTGCGCAAGGTTCTGCAGCTCTTTGCTCTGGGGGAGCAGGCCACTGGTTGCGTTGCGTGGCTCCCTCTGGTATTCCTTCCCATCCTCGTCATTACCCTCCTCCCGTCCTCTTCTTCCACATCACAATAATCATGGTAATCATCATCATCATCATCATCATCATCATCATCATCATCATCATCATCATCATCATCATCATCATCATCAGCAGCAGCAGCAGCAGCAGCAGCAGGATCATCATCATCATCATCAGCAGCAGCAGCATCAGCATCAACATCAGCATCATCAGCAACATCATCATCATCATCATCATCATCATCAGCATCATCAGCATCATCATCATCATCATCATCATCATCATCATCGTCATCGTCATCGTCATCGTCATCAGCATCGTCGTCATCGTCACCATCATCATAAGCATCATCACCATCATCACCATCATCATCATCATCAGCATCAGCATCATCATCACTAGCAACACCTTCACTATCCTCATCCTCATCCTCATACTCGTCGCCGCCATTGCCGCAATCATCGTCATCGGCATCATCAGCATCATCAGCAGCATCAACGTCAGCATCATCGTCATCGGCAGCAGCATCATCAGCAGCATAATCATCAGCATCATCAGGATCATCATCATCATCAGCATCATCATAAGCATCATAATCGTAGCCACCATCACGATCACCATCACCATCAAAACCATCATCGGCATCATCAACAGCAGCATCGTCATCGTCATCGGCAATTCATCGTCATCGTCACACCCACCAACACCATCATAATCAGCATCGTCATCATCAGCAGCATCAGCACCATCACCATCATCATCAGCATCGCCATTCTCATCAGCATAATCCTCATCATGATCATCATAATCAACATCATCGTGATCGTCAGCATCATCGACATCAGCACCAACATCATCATCATCATCATCATCGTCATCATCAGTATCTTCATCACCATCGGCGTCATCATCAGCAGCGACATCATCATCATTATCATCATCGGCATCGCCATCGTCATCATCCCCACCACCATCATCATCATCAGTATCATCATCATCAGCAGCATAGTCAGCATCACCATCGGCAGCAGCAGCATGATCATCATCATTAGCATTAGCATCATAATAAACAGAAGCATCATCAGCAAACTCATCATCATCAGCAGCATCATCATCCTCATCACCATCCTCGGCCTCATCCTCATCCGCATCCTCAACATCATCAGCATCAATATCAACAGCATCGTCAGCATCAACAACGTAATCATCACACTCTTCATCACCAACACCATCGCCATTGCCATCACCATCACCATCAGGACCACCATCATCATACTGGCCCTCCTCCTCTTCCTCCCGCCCTCATCCGCCCCTCCCCATCATTCCTCTTCATCATCGCCCCTCTCTACCTCCCCTTCCTCCCTCCTCCCTCCTCCCCCTCGCGCCTACCTTTTCCCGCCTCCCTCCTCGCCTTCTCACCCTCATGGCGTCGTTCGTCGTCGCAGCCCATCGCCGCCGCCAGAGGTCCCCGGAGGCCAAGAAGGGGGACAGAAACGCACAGAAGCCTGGACCCTCGATGCT